TCCCCTACAAGTCCCCCCCCAACCTAACTTTAGTCCGTAGCGATCCTACTATTGGGATTTGGGTGATTGTCAAAATTATGGTCCCTTTTTGGGTCCCCTAAATTAGGCCCCGTATTAGGCCCCGTATTGTAATAGGGACCCAAAAAGGGACCATAATTTTGACAATCCCCCTTCTGGGTCATAGTACAAGAAAGGGATCACTTTGCGAAGCGATCAACCTTTGGCAGAAACGACTCGGTGAACGCATCCAGAGGGATGTGCTGAAGGTCCGACAACCTCAGGAGCTCTGATCTTGACAAAGGGTTGGGTTTAAGGGTTTGAGGGTTCAAGGTTCAGGGTTTAGGGTGCAGTCTTGCAAAAGGCAGGAACTGAACGAACACATAATGGTGCTTGCTGAATCCTTGTTAGAGACCTCTTATAATCCTGCTGCAATCCTCATGCCCCAAACCCTAAAGCCCTAACCTTTACATGCCCCGAAGAGTTTGTAGTTTCTTTCTGAGGAGGGCCGTGAAAGCTGTACTTTCCTTTCGGCCAGCAGAGTCCGCACCCTAAACTCTAACCCCAAGGGGCTTGATATGTAAACATATATGTATATATGCCCAAACAGAATTCCCTCCCAAAATAATGAGCCGCCCCTGCAAATACGAAAGCCCTATTAAAGTACCATTACACAGGGTAGGCAGGAGGTACGCGCTCTGTTGATCTTAGGGGGTGGGAAGAATCAAAACTTGGACACACCCGCTAGGAATGAACCCTACCTTCCCCCAGACTAACATTCACCCTCAATAGGGCCTGTAGAAACCACCGTCCCTCTAAAAGCAGACTATCTGAGGTTCCGTCCCCCAAACCACCCTAAACCCTAAAACCCTGAAACCCTAAAACCCTAAACCCTAAACCCCACCCGTGAATTCTAAGCGGCATGTGTGTCAAGGCATCCTGGAGAACTCGCAGCTGCTTGCATTCTGGATCCGGGTGTTGCTGGCCCACCCACCTGGGTTGGCCCCTAAAGCCCTTTGAAAAATCTTAGTATATAGGTTCTCTTATTAAAGCCATTAGGGAAAATAATAGATATTTCAGGAGCCTACCCAGCCACTGATGCGAAATGAACGCGGCATTCCCCACGCTGTCATCAAACTCCACCAAGAGGCCTTGGGCCTTCAGATCCTCGTGTGGCTGCACTTCTGCCATCTCCAATACCTTTGCTCTCCAGTGTTCAAAAAAGCCACGGAGGAAAAATAAAATTGCACTATGCTCACGCTTTCGCATTTTCACTTCAAGCACTGAGCTAGCAAGCTTCTCTAGGTTTTAAAGCTTGGGGCTTTATCGATGAAGATCCCACTGAAGATCCAACATACCAAGCCCCAAAACCTAAAACAAACACATGAAGCTCATGCGGTATTGCCACACTCCAAGCACGAAACCACCGCCGCCTCCACCCTAAACCCTGAAACGCCAAGCCATAATATCTTCACTGGGTATTACACATCCGCCCATCCTCTTACAGTTAAACACTGCGGAAGGAATTTCGTGTAGGACCCTATATAATCATTAATGCCAACACCATAAACCCTAAACTCTTACCCTAAAGACGCGTATGTAGCAAGCAAAATTCCCCACAAAGGAGTATTGTAGGTATACCAAGGCCCTTTTACTCCATGCTTAGGGGCTGTAAGGGTGATTGACCTAAGTCCTTTCTTATGTTGCTTGAAGCTTAGCTTCTGCTTCAGCCGGAACGGTATACATTGGGAACAGAGCTGGCGCCGCCGCCAGTTCTGTGGACCCTGGCCATCTAAGGGGTTTCCCAAAATTTGGGTTGCCTTTTTGGAGTCCCTATTATACGGGCTATAGCAATTATCTTTTTGGGTTTGGGGTCTAGGGTTCCGGGGGCTATACTTTGAAGGATTTTTTTGAATATTCTACCCTAAGCCCTAAACCCTCTACCCCGTTCTTCAAGGTTTGAGAGCCAGCTCTTGCAGGTTAGTCGGCCAGGCAAAGACCTCACTCAACTGGTTTAGGGTTTAGGGTGGACATGGAAGTTCAAGAGAAACTTGGGACATTCTGAAACCAACTTACATGCCCTAAACCTTGAAGGTTAGTTTTGCTGATCGCCTATAACCCCTCATAGGAAACCGCCTATGAAGCCTCCCGTCAATTCTATCTCTCCCCTGAAATCCCCTGCACCCTACATCCTTAACACTAAGTAATTCCTAAAACCCTTAGCCCTAAATCCTAAGCCCTAAACCCTCAACCCCTAAACCCTAAACCCTAGACTTGCTCAGAAAACTCCACTTGATGATGATCTCAGAGCTAGACTCGATAAGCCTGGGGGCCATCTTTGTACATGTTGAAAGGATTAGGGTTTAGGGTTTAGGGTTTAGGGGTTTTCAGGGTTTAAGGATTTAAGGGTTTAAAACGACATTTTCTACTTCTGAGGGACCTAGTAGCTACGCAATTTACTAGACCCTTTCCATAAGCCCATTGTAACCCTGCGGTAACCGTTTAAGAGTAAGGTGGGTCTCAAACCTACCCCCAAGGCTCCGCAAGGTAACCACCTACGAAGAATCCTAAGACCTCAACCCTGAACTTGCAAGTAACCACCCTAAGACCCAAACAAACCATTGACCAAAAGTCCGTATCAGCGCTGTCGCTTCCATTCCCGTTTCACTTTCCTAAGAGACTCGTTTGGCGAAGTTATTTTTGAGTGCCCTTGCCTTCTTCCTGCTGATGTTGCAGGGACCTTGCATATCGAGATAGGGCTGTCCGCGGCCTTTTCCAGGCTCCGCACACCATGGCCGTGTCTAAGATTTGAATATGGTTTTTTGGTGGTTGAACAGGGTCAACTTATTTTTGTGTATATAAAATACCATACCCAAAAGGAGGATATAATCTTAATCTATTAGTGTTGGGTACGAATGTATCCCCAAATAAAGTACCGCTCATTTGGGGTTCGTCGTTGTTTGGGTGAGGCGGGGTGGGGTTGGGGTTTAGTTTTCTGCTTAATACCAATTGAAGCTTGGGTCTGTAGGCTTTAGAGCAGTCATGCTCGAGCTGTTGGTGCAAGGGGCTCAGCTGCTTGATCCCAAACTCCTTGACCAGAGACACGGGGCTTTATCAAAATGGAGAAGCCCCTGGGACCTTAGGGATCTACGGGTAGGATCAGGAGAGGTATTTATGGGCTTCAGGGTTGTGCTTAGAGATACCTACGAAGGGGATATGGCATATTCCCAACTCCAAGGGTCCCTCGAAGTAGGGTTTAGGGTATCGGTTACCTTTAGTGGATGCGCCAAGCGCATGGGGTCTAACAACCAGATTCTTGCTCGGTTTGGACCCCGGCAGAACCACTCTCGTGTTTTGCACTCTGGTATCAGCGTGTGGGGCACAGGGTACCGGCTTTGGATTCAGCTTAGGATTTGTTTTTTGGGGTTTAAGGGTCTAGGCAGTTAGGATCTACGGTTCGGGATTTAGGGTAATAGGCTTTAAGATTGGGCTACTCTTTCAGATACCCCAACTTGTCACAAGGATCCCCTCCACAGGGACCCCAAACCTCTACCAAGACCCCCCGGATACCCCCTAATAGTAGCCTGTGTACCCTTTGACAGTTGCTAATGGCTATTCGCATGTGTATCCGGAAAGTCTAGGTAGACCCTCAGCCCTAAACCCTAAATCCTAAACCTTACACTCTATCCCAAGCTACTCTTGGCTTGTAGGCGTGGCAAGAGTTGATGTGAATCCTGAATATTGACCCTAAACCCTAAATCCCTAAACCCTAAATCCGAAACCCTAAACCCTAGGAGGCTCGACACCTCCCCCAAACTGACATGATCCCCCCCCCAAACAGGCCCTATCAAGTTTACTGACCATTGTCCATGAAAATCGGGGCTATACAGGGTTGCTTCGGGAAGAATATGTGTCTCATAACAAGGGTATCCTGGAACTGGGGGGGGTGGCAACATAGGAAGTATAAGAGGATTTTGCGGCAGCCTCCTACTGATTGTGTAGGGGGTTGTAGCGGACTAGTTGTAGGAAACGCCTTTTCGAGAGAAGTAGGGTTTGTGCACTGCATACTCTAAACCCTAAGCCCAATCCCGCCCTAAACGCCTGAAGCATGATCGGTAAGGGTTTCGGTCTCGGGCTGAGGATCTAGGCTAAAATTGGGCTTCCCCAAGTCGCGGTTTCGGTTCGGGTTAAGGGTGCCCAAATGGCTGGAAGATTTCGGGATAGTTACAAGAAGAAGTGCAATCATGGTGGCCTTAGTTGCAACTGCACTTCGGGCTTGGGGTACGTACCACCATACTTGCAACTACTTATGATGAATTTCCAGGTCATGTAGGAGGAGGCCCCTAAATCCTGAACCTTAAACGCTAAATCCCAAAACCTAAACCCTAATTTCGCCTTACACCCGTACACCCTGAACCCAGAACCCTAAACCTCAAAAGCCTACACACTGAACGCCGAAGGCCTGAATGCCACCCCAGGAGGAGGAGCCACTCTCCAAGTCCAGGAGCCTGCGTTGCTGTTAATGAACTTGAATTAAGTTACCAAGGGGTCAGGGTTTAGGGTGTATATACATATATATCTTCTTTCCCCAATATACTAACTTAAATTCAATTCCTTAAATCCCTATATTACCTCAGTTTCCATGTCATTTTCCATGTTCTTTTCCATGTGGTTCTCCTTTGTAAGCGGAAAAATAGCTTGAATGGTAGTTTCCCAAAATAAGGGGACCCCAATATAGACCCTAATATACTATACTCCTTATTATGGTGACCCCCAAAAAGGTACAGCAACACCTAAACCCTAAACCCTAAATCCTAAAACCCAAATCCCCACATAACCCCTATAAACACTAAACCCTAAAACCTACATCCTAAGCCCGAACCCTGAACCCCAACCCTAAACCCTAAGTTCCTTAACAGCAATCCAGGAACCAGGACAGCAAATCTTCGCATTGCTTTTGGATCTTGGCTCCGGCCTTGGCATTTAGGGCTTATAGGGGTTTAAGGTTTAGGGTTTAAGGTTTATGGGTTTAAGGTTTAGGGGTTTAAGGTTTAGGGTTTAAGGTTTAGGGGTTTAATGTTTATGGGTTTAAGGTTTAGGGGTTTAAGATCTAGGGTGTAAGGTTTGTAGGGTTTAAGTGTTAGGGTTTAAGATCTAGGGTTTAAGGTTTAGGGATTTAAGACCTAGGGTGTAAGGTTTAGGGTTTAAGGTTTAGTGGTTTAAGATCTAGGGTGTAAGGTTCAGGGTTTAAGGTTTAGGGGTTCAAGGTGTAGGGCTTACGGTTTAGGGTTTAAGGTTTCGGGCTTAGGGCATCCTATTATCATTACTACAAGAATTATTACTGTTCCTCATTGTTTATTGAAGTTTACTGCCTGGCTAGGGCAAAGGGTTAAGGATTCGGGTTTGAGTTTCAGATTTTGGGAGTTTAGGGGTTACGATTTTAGATTCGGTTTTAGGCTTGTGGGGTCTAAAGTTTAGGATTGAGAGCTTAGAGGTGGGAACTTAGGTCTACCTTCCTGACAGGGCTTGGGTGCGCCTGAATGTTGAATGCCCAGGCTGGAGCTGAACCCTAAACCCTAAACCGCTAAAGAGTTGTGAATTTTGCTGGGGTTCGGCTCAAGGATTGGGAGGGCTTTGTCGGCAGGATTTTAAAAGGGGTCTCGGTCTTAAGGTTTAGGGCTAAGGAGTGTGCTTAGAGCTTTGGATCTAAGGTTTGGGAGCCCCAAACCCTAAACCCCTAAACTCTAAAACCCTAAACCCTAAACCCTCAGCAATAGATTCAAGCTTCCGGGTTCTCAGGGTTGAGGCCTGAGTGCTTCGAGCGGCAGATTTAGGGAGGGATTGATTAAGGCGCGGGGCTTGGGATTTGGGGGTTTCAGGCTCAGAGCTTTGGTCCTACCTGTGTAGCCGTTTAGGGTTTTGGGTGGGCAACCAGGCATGAATGATTGCTCCCAAAGATCCACTTTTTGCAGGTTTGGGACCCTTCCTACTGTTGAAACTAAAGATCCTGCATGGGCCTACCACCCTACAGTACCATAAAGCCCAAGGTATAAGGTACCTGGGGTCATGCCGGATTTTAATATCCGCCGTAGGAAGCGATTGCTTTTGGAACAAAAACCTTATTTCTGGTTGCTTGGCTACCCAAGTCTGGGCTTTGAGGGGTTAGGCCTTCCAGGCGAGGGATTTTGCACAGCACTGGGTTCAAAGGCATGCTGCTTGCCTCATAACATCATCGAAGGCCTAAACCCTGAACCCTGGTTTTGGGCCTTTTTTTGGACGTTTAGGCCATAAGGATGCGCGATCCGAGGATTTAAGTTTTCAGGGTTGTTTGGATTCCCCTACTACGCCCCTACTATACTTCCCCCCATAGGTTCCTTCTGAATGAGGCTTTTGAATTAAAAATCCTGATGTGGCTTCTTATGGTTAGTTCTAGTAATGGTAGTAGGAGTATGGTTAGGGGAACCCAGAGGTATGAATTCAGCTTGTACAGTTTTTCTGGCTTGATGGGTCCGTGTTCCCTAAACCCTAAACCCTAATCCCTACACGGAGTTGAGCATGTAGGCCGAGGGGTCTGGGCGGAGGCGCGCTCAAACACTAAACCCTGAGTTCTGCGACCTGAATGGTTTAGGCTTTAAGCCCAAGCCACCCTGCACCCCAAACCCTGCAATCTTAAAGCCCCAAGCCTAAACCCCATTGTCCCAAAGCGTAGTTGCAGGTTCTTCGAGTAGCCACATGCGCCCCTGCAGACTGGCAGAATCCTGCCTTTGCCCTTCTTGATTCCTTTGCAGCGTTCCTCATGCTTTTGGCTAATCAGTCACAACAAACATGGATGCGCTGGCAACGTGAAAATGGGCTTGTCACCAGCCCAGGTGGCTCCAGTGGCTCCTGCATCACTCGAGATTCGAGACACTTGTAGTCTGACAAGCGTTTTGCACTTGATGCTCAGGCACCTGAAGCTGGGCTTGTCACTAGCCCAGGAGGTGGTTGAAGATCATCCTTCACCACGAATGTAACCTAGCCTTCTTTGCTACTCCTAAGGATAGCTCTGGTATTGACACAATCCTAGACCCTGAACCGCTCCTTTAGGGCATGCATGGCATACATCACTTTTCGCATGACCTTTAACTCAAAATTTGGGATTTGGGTTTCAGAACTTAGGCTTTCCGGATCCCAGCCCCAACCCTAAACCCAAAGCCTCCAACCACCCTCGAAAGCCACGGGTGTAGGGTTTAGGGATCATAGGGTCTTGGGTTCAGGGTCGCTATGCCCGCCCTGAAACCACCTGTGGTGGTTCCAAACTTTACAAACCAAGCTTGGAGCAGACGAGCCACATTCTCGATCAAATTAACACAAGCCGCCACGATCTTGTCTGTGTAGCTGCTGTGGTTGCCTTGGCCCAAGCCAGCAAAATCGTTGCATACTACAAACTGAAAATGCCCAACAACCATATTTTGCAGTCCCCAAGAGTAAACCATGACAGTACAAGGCAGGCACTCAAAGTGGCGGTTTCTCCCCGCGCCCTTGACGATGTGGCCCTAGAGGCGCAGGAGTTTTAATAGGAAAGCCGCGAACCCTAAACCTTGTTCCTCTTGTCAGCTGATGTTAATTCTGCATGTAGGGTTTAGACTTTCGGGATGTACGGTGGGGAAAGTGAAGCAAACATCTAAACAAAAGAGACAAAGACGACGGTTTACCCATCCCCACCCAAAATAAAATCAAATTAAGAATGGCTAACCCTAGGGCTCCAGTTACCTAAATAAAGGGTTCTATATACCCTAATGTTACATAGCCCCAGTAACTGGGAGCCTAGGGTAAGGCAGTGGCAAGAACCTCGAAAGCCATCCCACAACTACCTGCTGCTTGGCGGGAAATGGATCCTGTTTAGGGTTTAGGGTGTTTAGGGTTTGGGTTTAGGGTTTAGGGTGTTTAGGGTTTAGGGTAGACCTGTGGTGCTTAACTAAAAGGATTGGGGGGTGGACCCTTGAGTTGGATCCTGGGGTTCGGGGAGCCCCCGGAAGGAACAACAGGTTTTAGGGTTCAGGGCCTAGGGAATAGTACCAACATATTCCCTGTAAATGGGGCTAATGGTTTTCCAAAATTAGGGGTACCTTTTTGGATCCCCCCCATATTAAGGATACTTATATTGGGGTCCCCTATTTTGGGAAACTGCCATGTAATGTCTTCGAGATGTCAGGTATAGGGTAGAGGGTATAGGGTTTGCGGCTTATAATTTCAGATTTAGGGTTTAGGGTTTAGGATTTAGGGCTTAGGGTTTGGTGTTTAGGGTTTAGGGCTCAGGATTTAGGGTTGAGAGCTCAGGACTTGTAGGATTTTGGGTCCCGCAACAATGCAAGATCAA